GCCTGCGAGCTAGGCGGCGCCGGGTCTGCCAGATGGCCTGGTCCGCGCCCTGCACAGGCGGCTTGAAACAAAGCAGCTTCACCTGCAGCCGCCTCGCGTGCTGGTGACTGCCCGCGCGCCTCAGGACCTGCCATTCGCGCAGCCGTTCCACCAGCCAGCTCCAGTGCTGCTCCGCTGGGGCGGCCCTGGCGGTGGGCGTCCAGCGCTGTCGCTGGCGGCGCAGCTGCACCTGGGCCAGGCGAGCGCCTTCGATTCTGCCGCGGTAGCGGTCTGCCTCGCGGCCTGTGCCCAGGCCGAAGTGCTGCAGCAGCTCGTCCTCGTTGCGGTCGAGGGCACGGCTGCAGGCGGCATCCAGCCCAGCAGGCGTCACCGCTGCGTCGATGTCGTCGATCACGTCCTGCCAGCCTGGCGGGGGCAGCTGCGGTCCGATGAGCGCCTTCACGGGGAAGGGCCGCGGCCTGTGGAGGCGTAAGACCGTCGCGCCAGGCGGAGGGAGGGCCAGCTGCAGGACGACGGCCCTGTGAGTGCGAACCGCGAAGCGGTCGCACCTGCGAGCCGACCGCACCGCTGCCTCTTGGCTCACGCAGAAGAAGTCGATCTCCCGAGCAGCCTTGTGCGTGACGCAGGTAGCTGCCCTGGGGCATGCCAACCTCGCGTCCAGAGACAGTAAGTAGCAGCTGCGCCTCCTCCACCACCTCTGGAGTCATGTTCCAGTCGGCCCCGACCACGAAGGGCCTGCGCATGGCTCGAATCACTGAGCCGAGGTTCATCATCAGGTCCAGGTTGAAGTCGCTGAGACCCTGACTGGTGTGAAAGTACGCCGACACCAGCAGCGTGCCTTCACGATCGCCGAGGGAGGTCATCCAGAAACCGAGGCGGGCCGAGCAGCGAACGGCGATGCTGTCATCGGTGAACTCGACGCGCTGGAGGTGCACCCATGGGCGAACCAGGACTCTCACGCCAGCAGAGGTGCTGCCTTTAGCTGTGGCCACAGCAGGGATCAGGTCAGCAATCCAGCCTGCAGCGCGAGCGGCGCGAGCCGCCGAAGCCAACTGGCGGGGCTCGGCCAGGTGATGCTCCTGGATCAGGATGGCCTGGATGCCGTCGTCGACGTTGCCCTGCTCCAACTGCGAGAGGCAGGACGTCCAGCATGTCACGGACGTGCGCGTCCCGAGTGCGCGCAGTGCGGTCTGGCCGCGGCCCTCGCCGCTTGCCCTTCGCAGCCGAGCAGCATCCCGAGGTGCGCCCAGCGGTGGCTGCCGCGGGCCCAGCCTCCGCGCCAGGCCAAGGGGGGCCCCCGCGAGCAGCGCCGCCGCCAGCGGCCAGCTCGCCACCAGCGCCATGAGCTCCAGGAGCCGCTGGCCGAAGGGCACCGCGTGGAGGTACTCTACGGGCAGGTGGTGCCTGTTGTAGAACCGAGCTGCCAGTAGGGCTCGACGTCGCACTGGTAGAGGAACGGCATGGCCCGTACCCACTTCGTTGGCCACTCTCGTTGACGACATTGGGAGTGGCACCGTGGGGGGGCGCCCCCAATCCGGCAGACGACCGGTGGGCAGGCAGGTGAATGTCGTAGGAGCCGGGGTCGTGTACGCAGACGGCTCTGAGGAGCCAGTGGATGCCGTTGCCGTTGTCGAACGCTTCCGTCTCCTGGTGCAGCGCGAGGAGGTGCTCAAGCAGCTCGTGGAGCCACGCCTCGGGGTCGTCGATGCGCACGCGGGCCAGCCAGGCAGGGTACCGAGCTCGCGCAGCGCGGCGGCGTCGAAGGGCAGCAAGGCAGATGTCGATGGCCATATCGGCTCGCGCCGCTCCAGGATTGTCGTGCCCATCTCGCCGCGCGCGCTCCCAGACCAAAGCTTGGAAGCTCTGGTGAGCAAGGAAGCGGGCAACGACAGGGACGCAATGCTGGCGCCAGTGCAAGCCGTCCCTTACCTCGTCGTCCGTCATGGGGTCCTCCAGCCAGTGACCAGTGCACGTGCGCAGGGCCCGCTGCAAGGTGTCGAGGCTCGCGAGGCCCTCGCGGCGAGCTGGGCCCGCATCCTTGAGCGCGTACTCCCCGAACGAGTACCCCCTGCTCGAAACCCACTGGATGCGTGTCCTCGCCGCGCCTTGGCCCCGCAGGCGGCCGCGCCGAGTGCGCCGCTGCCTGTGGGCAGCAGGCGTGGACTCGGGGGCCTCCTCGAAGATGTCGTGCCTGAGTGCTCCGCCAGGCAGTGGGCCTGCGTCAAAGCCCCGACTGATCCTTATCAGCGCCCGCAGGGGTGGCCGCCTCCTTGCCCGTGCCTCCGCTGGGAAAGCTGCGGCCTCCTTTGGCAGCTCGACCCTTGCCGCTCGCAGCTGCCTTGCTGGCGGCGAGGCGCTGGCGGCCTGCCTCCAGGACGTCCACGGCAGCAGCCGCCGCGCCTGGGGCGCCCGCTCCCGCAGCAGCAGCAGAGGCGGTTGGCGAAGGGGGCGGCGGCGGCGACGGGGCGGCAGCCTGCGAGCCGCCAGCGGGAGGCGCTGCGGCTGGCCCTGCAGGCGGCTGATCACCACCTGCAGGACCTGGTGCACCCGAAGCCTCCTGCGGCGGCTGAGGCGGCGGGGAGGTCGTGGTGCGCCGCTTCTTCTTGAGTCGGGCGCGTAGCTCGCGGTGAGCCTTCTCCAGCGCCTCCGCCTCCGTCTTGAACTGGCCGAAGGCGTCTTGAGCCATGGCTGCGAAGCGCGCCTGGAGCTCCTCGAGCCGCCGCTGCGCCTCCTGCCGATCGCTCTCCTCCACCTCGTAGTCCTCCAGGGCCTCCAGGCCGAAGAGACCCTCGTCGTCCAGCTCCCACGCCGCCTTGCCCGCCAGCAGTGCTGAGACGCTGAGCTTGGGCACCGCCGAAGCGGACGGGCCTGGCCTGCCCTCAGTGCCCGCTGGCGCCACCGACACCGCCAGAGCCTGCACCGCACTGGTGTAGATCGCCTGCGCGCCGTCCAGGGCGGTGGTGCACTTGGCGACCCTCTCCGTGGCTTGGTCGAGCCGCTGCTGGAGTGCATCCGCCTCCGCCAGCGCGTCGTCCAGGGCGTCGGCAGCAGCGTCCCGCGCAGCGCCAGCCTCCGCCACAGTGAGGGGCCTGGCCAAGCGCTGGGCGCGGAGGATGTCCAGCTGGTGCTTATACTTGGCGACGGCGGGCTCGTCGCCTGAGAGGCGGAGCAGCTCCACCAGCTGTGCCAGCTTGGCCTCCTCAGGGTCGGCGTCGGGCGCCAGAGCTTGATCCGCGTCGGCCACGATGCGCACCCCTCGGCTGGTGCTGCGTGGGCGTCCTCCAGCGCCGCGGGCTCCGCCGTCGGGGGCTCCTCCGTCACGGTGCGACCCCGCGGCACCCTGGCGCCAAGGGGGGGCGCGTTCAGCGCGTCCGCGGCTGGCGGAGGGGCGGCGGCTGCCAGCGCCACCGCGAGCAGCATCGCCAGCTGGCACCAGCTGGAGCGGCCGCTGGCAGTGGCAGCACCATGTCCACCAGTGCTCGTTCTTGCGGCACCCGCAGTGCGCGCAGGCCCGGGCGCGCCCGCTGCCGCTGCCGCCGCCAGCCAACGCCATGGCGTCGTCGTCGGCCCCTGTGCCGCCGCCGCGGGGCACCGCCGAGCCGTGGTGCCCGTCCAGCAGCGCCGCGGCGGCCTCCAGCCTGGCGCGCTGGCGGGGGGGAAGGCGTGCCCCGCCACGCGTGAAGTAGGGCGCGTGCAGCTGCACGCGCGCGGCGCTCGCGCCTGTGCCACGCCGCCTCCGTGGGCAGCGCGATGGTCCCCGCCCGAGGGGGGCCCGCGGCGGCCTGTCCGCCCCCAGGCCCTCGGGCAGAAACTGGAGGAGGAGGAGGAGGAGGAGGAGGAGGAGGAGGAGGAGGAGGAGGAGGAGGAGGAGGAGGAGGAGGAGGAGGAGGAGGAGGAGGAGGAGGAGGAGGAGGGGGGGCCCGTGGGGCTCTATGGGGCCTCTCCTGTGGCTCTCTCTGGGGCCGCCCTCCGCGGTCTGGGGCCCTCCTGGGGCCCCCGGGGGCTGTCATAGGGGGCTCCTGGGGTCGGCTGCAGGGGGGCCGAAGCCGTGCGGGAGCCCGCTTGGGACCGTCCCGGGGCTGTCTCGGGGGGCCCGTGGGGCTCTATGGGGCCGTCTTGGTGCTCTCTTGGGGCGTCTGTGGGCCGCTTGAGCCATCCCAGAAGCTATGGCAGAGGCGTCTCGGGCGAGACCGAGATCATTTCGGAGCTCCAAAGAGCCATCTGGAGCTGCTCCAGGCCGTCTGGCGCGTCTTCGGGCCCGAAATGGAGAGAACCTAAACCTTTAAAGAACGACGGAAGTGCACGATGTTTGGCCAATCGGGTCGTCATGGGGGTGCTCTGCGGCCGTCTTGGAAGTCTATTTCTGGTATTGGAAGTCTCGGGGAGCAGCTTGGGCCTTGGAGCCTGTTTTTTTTATTCAGGCAAGTTTACTTGCATGGCGTTCGCCCCCCCCCCCCTCGCCCCTCTTCAAGCGAATACTAGCGTGCAATGCCTTTCGACTTGCGTGATTTCCGCGCCCCCCCCCCCGGGCTTGCTTCAGGCTCAGCCCCCCCCCGTCCATGCAAGTAAACTTGCCTGAATCTACAAAAAACAGGCTCTTGGTGGGACTCTTCGTGAAGTTTTCTGGCGCTCTCTTGAGCTTCCAAGGGCCGTCTTGGGCGGTCGAGGGCAGTCCCAGGAGCGCCGGCGACCGTCGAGGCCCGCCCCAGGGGCGCGGGGAGCCACCCCGGACCACTCTGTCTGAACTCGCACGCGCTGTTCCCGGTGTTGTAGTGCATAGATGTGTAGGAGGCGGACGACGACGACGATGACGAGGACGATGACGCGGACAAGGAAGAGGAGGAGGAGGAGGTGGAGGAGGAGGGCGGCATCGACAGGGAAGGTAAGGGCCACGAGGTCCGCCGGCTCGATGCACGCGTCGCCCGCGCCCGCCCCCTCACTCTTATCCGCAATTGCGGGGTGCTACGTAGTGTAAAGATGATGTCTGGCTCCAGCTTCGCCTCCCACATCTCGCTCAACAACGCCAGCGTCCGCTGCCACTGCGCGCCCTTCTCGCACGCGCTCATCCCAGCATTGTAGCTAACTCGTGTGTACCCGTGCTGGCTGCTACTGGCGGGGATGGCCCAAAGTGTGCCCAACTGGCGTCGAAAACCTGTCCTATTATGATAAGGCAGGGCCGAGACCGACCAAAATACCCCATAAGACCCCAAAGATGGCCCGAACTGATCGCCGATAGCAGCCGGAGATGGCCCAAAGTGGACCGGAATAGCGTCGAAAACCTGCCCTATCATGATAGGGCAGGGCCGAGACCCGCCAAGAGACATCTGGGGCCTGTTTCAAAAACCTCCCGAAGCTGGGACCCCCCCCGAGGCGAGGCGATTCTGGGCCACCAGAAAAGCGAAACACGGCATGGCCTCAAGAGGCCGCGGAGAGGGCTCCAGACCGACAAAAAAGGCAAGGGATTCTAGGCCAAATCTGACAGGGAGCGCCGACCGAACGAGCATCAGAGCCCCATGGTGCGCTGGGAGCCGTTTTCCAGCCATCTGCGGCCGTCTTAGGCCGTCTTGGGCTGCTGTTGGTGCCGTCTTCGGTGCCTCTTGAGCCGTGATCTTCGGGCCTCTTGGGGCCGTTTAGGGGCCTCTCAACGCTTCTTTTCAGCCTCCAGAAGCCTCCTGGGGCCCTCTGGGGCTGTCTCGGGTGCCCCTTGGGCCGTCTGGAGGCGGTTCGGGACCGTCTGGGGGTTGCCTGGGGCCGCCTTGGACGTCTCTGGAACAGTCGGGGCACCGTCTGGAGGCCGTCTTGGGCCGTCCTGGGCCGCTCTTGAGGCTGTCTTGGGTACCCTGTGGGCCGCAACTGGCGCGCCTCAGGAGCCGTCCTGGGGCCATCTTGGGACCTTGTATGGCCTTCTTGGACGCTATGAAGCGGGCAAGCCAGGGAACTGCCAACATGCACGTTTCTCCAAGGAAATGGTACGGTGTTTGGGTGTTCGGGCTCTCTTGGGGCTCGTCGTGGAGCCCACTTGGAACGGTTGGGAAGCCTCTTGGACCGTCTTCGGCCGTCTGGGGGCCCTCTTGGGGGCCTCCTCGTGCGTCTCCGAACGCTCTTGGGCCATCTTGGAAGTGCGACGAGGCCTGCTGGGGCTCCCAAGGGCCTCCAGAGAGGGCCGGTCCGCTGCCACCGATCGGCAGCTCTGCAAGCGCCGGTCCGGCCATTGTAGGAGAGACTAGTGTGAGCCCGTGAATTATATCCACGGTTTGCTGAACCTGGGGCTCGCAAGCAACAGGTTGGATATGCAGAGCACGGCGACAAAGTCGAACAGCTCTGGGCCCACCACGTAAGAAATGTGAAGCAGTAGTAAAAACTAAGACGCATAACTTTATCATTTGAAAGTCTTTGCTCATCGAAGGGCGTTCCAAATTGTAGCATGAAAATAATCGTCGCGAGGAAACCCAACCAGACAAGAGCGTCGTCGTCGTCGTCGTCGTCGTCATTGTCGTCATTGTCGTCGTCGTCGTCGGCGCCGTCGTGGGGATCCATGTTCGTGATTGTACAGAGGCTCGCCGAGGCTATCATGGACAGCTCGAGGGGCCTCCGCGGGGCTCCATCGGGCGCCGCTGACGCCGCCGGTGTAGCCTCGGCGAGGCCCCATCGGGGTCCCCAGGCGCGGCCAGACACATGTGACATCCTTGTTGGTTTTGTTCGCAGGCTCTGCGGGGCTGTCCTGGAACGCTCGTGGAGCCTTCGCGGGGCCCCATCGGGGGTTACTGACGCCGCCGGCGTAGCCTCGGCGAGGCTTGATCATCGGAGCCCGCGACCCCGACCAGACAAACTTGGCATCCTTGCTGGTTTTGCCCGCAAGCTCCGCGGGGCTGTCCTGGAACGTTCGTGGAGCCTTCGCGAGGCCCCATCCGTCTTGGTCGGGGACCTTCTGACCCGGGTCAATCCAGACCCGGGTCAGTCAGGCCTTGCAAACTCCTGCAAGATCTTGCACCCAAACCCAGGTGAACGCGAAGGATCCTGCAAAATCCTGAAGGATCCTGCGCCCAAGCCTGGATCAATGCGACCCTGTCCCTGCAGGATCCTGCACGATCCGGCGCGCTGGCTGACCCCCGTTCGGGAGCGGCCAAGAGGGGGGTGTCCAAGAGGGGGGGGTGCAAATCATGACTGGCGGCACGTGCGCGGCCCAGCGGGGGGGCCAGGGACGTAATGAAATAAGAAGAGGCGCCATGAGATCTGAGGAAATATCATGGCCCACGCCATGACACCCACCCACCCCTAGTCAACACCCCCCTCTTTGCCGCCCCCGACCCGTTTGCACTGACCCCTGTCTCAAGGCTCCCGACTTGGGCGGTCTTGGGCCTTCCCGGGAGCGCTGGCGACCGCTGGGGCCAGCACCTGGGTCGCGGGGAGCCGTCCCGAACTGCTCTGTCCGAGCTCGCACGCGCTGGTCCCGGTATTCTAGTGTAGACTAGGAGGAGGAGGAGGAGGAGGAGGAGGAGGAGGAGGAGGAGGAGGAGGAGGAGGAGGAGGAGGAGGAGGAGGAGGAGAGGAGGGGATGAGGAGGAGGAGGAGGAGGAGGAGGAGGAGGAGGAGGAGGAGGAGGAGGAGGAGGAGGAGGAGGAGGGGTGAGCGCCCCTGGGGAGAGTCCTGGACCCTCTTGAGGAGCTCTCGCGCTCTGGCAGAGCACTTGGCGATAGCTCTGCAGCTGGCCTCCATAAGAGGGGTAACGAGGGATTCCGAACACCTGCCCTTCGATCGAAGGGGATTGACTGTAGATAACAACAGATCAGCAGCAATACCTATACACAGAAGCTCAGGAGGGCGGGGAAAACACATAGTCTGGACAAGCATGCGTTCAGAAGAGGAAAGCTCAAAAAAAGCGGGCAGGCAGGCAAGGTATACATTTTTCTAAGGCGTTCAAGGCTACATGACAACTGGCAAAGAAACACCCAAACCGACACGGCCCAAAACCCCCACCAGGAGGAGGAGGAGGAGGAGGAGGACCCGCGGACTCCGTCTACGACATCTTTCTGGAATGGCTCTCAGAGGAACGGCGGAGGTTTTGCCGAAATCCTATAAGCACGGCGGCGGCCAGGGGCGGCGGGAGCGAGGCCGCGCTTTCGTGTCCGAGCTCTAGCAGCGCTCCAGCAGCTTGGCCGTCGAGGGGCCGCCGTCGTTGTCGTCGCCGCCGCGAGGCCGCCGTCGTACTCGTCGTAGTCGGCGTCGTTGTCGTGATGGTGGTGGCGGTGGTCGTCGTCGTGGGTAACGCGCACCGGAAGGAGGCTGGCGACGTTGGTAGGACTGACCCGTGGACTCCGTCCGCGAAATCTGAACAAACAGGCATCTGATTGTGGGGCTCGACCTCACATTCCGCGCATGCTACTGCGTGCTGCTGCTTGCTGCCGCTTTTGCGTACCGTTGGTAGTGCGTGAGGCCGCTGCTGCATTGTCTTGCTGCTTGTGGCTGCAGGTTGCCGCTGATGGCCAATTCGGCTTGGTGCGTGCTTCTACCCGCTGTCTGCAGCTGTTTGCTGCTGCTGTGTGCCGCCGCTGCTGCTGTCTGCTTCGCGCCCACCAGAGAGATCAATGCCGCCTCAGGGTACTCGGAATGCCGCACGGTGGACTGTGCATGGGGGCTCACTGTGGACATCAGGGAGCCGCGTCGTCTCCGCACTCCTCTGGGATCAGACTGTGTTGGAGACTGCGCTCCCTGGAGGCCTCCGATGTATCTCGCCTCACTTGGGCGGCAGCGGCGAAGGGCGCCCTGGAGCTGGGAGGCAATAGTAAAGGCAAGCAGCGCCCATGTTGCTGTTCAGTATTCGGCGCTCGTTCGCTGCGCAGACGTATCCCCTGGACGCGCCGTGGTTGTCGTCGCCGCCGCCACCACCGCTGCCATCGCCGCCGTCGTCGCTGGCGCCAACGACAACACCGTCGTTGGCCGAGGCCTCGAATAGCTTAGGCGCGTCGCAGCACTGGGCTCCGCTTCATGGCTTCACCGCGCGGTCACCTGACGGCCGCAACCCGCACGCGGCCTTCCCGTGCAGGCCCGTCGAGCCGAAGTCGAAGTTCTGGGTCGAGGGACGGGGTCGTGTCGGGAACGGCGAGAAGGTCTGGGTCGAGAAGGGTGGTTTCGACGGCTACTGGGGCGCCTCTGGTCGAGCTGGTGGGCCTCAGGTCGGGCTGGGGTCTTCAGAAGTCCTCCTCCTCCTCCTCCTCCTCCTCCTCCTCCTCTTCCTCCTCCCCTGCCTTGTTGCCTCGATGCTGCACGCCCTGGATCTTCAATCGTGAATCATAAACCCTCGGAGCATGGAGCACGGCTGTTTGGGATCTGCGTTCTGCCTCTCACCTCTCGTCCGCCCCCCCCCGTTGGATGGAATTCTGTAGCCACTGAGGGCCTCTTGGGAGCCGTGTGCGGGCCTCTTGGGGCTTTTGCTCGGCTTCGAAGGGGCCTCTGGGGGCCCTCGGGGGCTCTCGTCGGTGCCGTTTGAGCTGTCTCGGAACCGTCCTGAGCAATCTTGAGCGCCTCTTGGACTGTCTGGGGGCCGTCGTGGACCGTTTTGGGCGGCTCTTGGGGCTGTCTTGGGTGCTTTCGGGTCCGTCTTGGGGCCGTCGTGGGCCGTCTTGGGCGCATATTGGGCTGTATTCGGGCTGACTTGGGCCGTCAGGGGCCGTCTTTGGGGGCGTCTTATGCGAAATTGGGGCTGTCTTGGGCGCCTCTTGGGCCGTCGTGGGCCCGTGTTAAACCGATTGCGTTGTCCTGGGGAATCCGCGCGGGCCGTCTTTGGAAGCTTTTGGCCTGCCTGGGGGGCCTTTGGGGCCGCCGGAGCGGCCTCTTGAGCGGCTCGGAGCGCCCCTGGGGCCGTCGGGGCGGCCTCTGGAGCGACTCGGAGCCGTCTTGCGGTCGTCGGGGTGATCTCTTGAGCGGTTCGGGGCCGTCTTGGGGCCGTCGGGGCAACATCTGGAGCGTCTCGGAGCCGTCGTGAGGCCGTCGGGGCGCCCTCTCCAGCGGCTCGGAGCCGCCGGAGAGCACTCTGTCCAAACACCCTTCTCGCACGCACAGTTCCCGGTATTGTATTATAGACTA